GTTGTCCCAAAGGGGCTTTTTCAGGAGGCAACTTGTTTTTCTTTGAAGACATTTCGCTTTTCATCCAAGAAGCTTCTTCAACTCTGGACGGTGGGGAATGGAAGGATTTATACTCCTTGCAGACAGCTGGTCATTTGCATCATTTTAGAGAGTCGTTGAGACCTCCTGGAGGTTTGTTTGTGTCCTCAGGGTCACCTGAGTGGTGCAAATGGGTGTGGAGCCTTCTTGGAACTGCTGAAAGGACTGTGTGGTAGACTGGAGATACATGATGTCGTATCCCTCCCCCTCTGTTGAGGGAGGGCCATTCAATCTTGATCATCTATCCCCAGTCTACCACACAGTCCTTTCAGTAATTCCAAGAAGGCCCCACACCCATTTGCACCACTCAGGTGACCCTGAGGACACAGATAAGCCTCCAAGTGGCCTCGAGGACTCTCTAAAAAGGTGCAAATGACCAGCTGTCTGCAAGGAGTATAAATCCTTCCATTCCCCACCCTCCAGCCAGAGCTGAAGAAGCTTCTGGGATGAGAAGCGAAACGTCTTCAAAGAAAAACAAGAAAGTCCAGTTGCCTCCTGAAAAAAGCACTTTTGGGACAACCAGGACCTGGATGACGGAGAATCACCAGAGACATATGTCTTATTTATAATGAGGAACATCCAGTTCATATTTATGAGTTCGGTCTAAAGATTTATTATTATTCCACTGGATCATTTTATCATTCCGATAGCTGCATGTTGAGATAATGTCTATCGGTTATTTTTTTCCAGTGAAAACCCAACTGCTTTGTCAAGTTGATAGCATTGTCAGAGATTCTATTAACAGAAGCAACACTGCCACAATTTTAAGAACGAAGAGTGAAATTCTCCCTCCTGCACACACGAAGGAATGAAATTATACCATGCCAATAAGCGCTGCAACATTTTTTTATTAGCACCATTAATGGAAAAGACATTTAATTTGGAATAAACCAGGGTTGCTCAAAAGGAACGGGTCGCAAATAGCCCCGTTATGCAAAAGGCATTTTGAAGGGAAGTTTTTCTTTTTTGTTTTTCAGCAAAGAGCAGAAAAAGAAAAGTTTTGTGGCATTACACTTATTTTATTTTATTTTTGGAGTGGGGGGGGAACATTCATACTTATTATGCCTTGGAAAATCAATAAAATGTGCTCTAGCGTGCAAAGAACCTCTTCAAAATTGGTAGATTGTAATGATGAACTGGTTTTGAAGATTTCCTTCGGTTTTCTCGCAGCCTCTTTATTAAGCCTCCATCACTCTTCACTCTTCCTCAAGAAAAATAAGACAGCATTAACAGGGCTTCTCTGGTGGACAGTCACAAGCCAGAATGAAGCCACGTTTGGTTGTTGAGAGAATTCCGTCAAATGGAGGCTCTTTTCAGCGTTCCTGTCAACGACCAGCTTGTTCAGTTCAAGGCTTCTGGATCTTGCTAACCATCATCAGGCCTAATAATATTCAAGATAATAACATAATATTCAAGAATAAAATATAATTGGGTATGTCTAGCTTAGTGAAAAGAAGGACTAAGGGTGACATGATAGCCGTGTTCCAATATCTCAGGGGCTGCCCCAAAGAAGAGGGTGTCAAGCTCTTCTCCAAGGCCCCTGAAGGCAGGACAAGAAGCAACGGGTGGAAACTAATCAAGGAGAGAAGCAACCTAGAACTAAGGAGAAATTTCCAGACAGTTAGAACAATTAACCAGTGGAACAACCTGCCTCCAGAAGCGGTGAATGCTCCAACACTGGAAGTTTTTAAGAAGAGACTGGACAACCATTTGTCTGAAATGGTACAGGATCTCCTGCCTGAGCAGGGGGTTGGACTAGATGACCTCCAAGGTCCCTTTCAACTCTGTTGTTGCTATTATTGTTTTAATTTCATTTCAATTCACCATCGGAGACTGGTAAAAACTTAACAGTTCAAGTCCTAACCAAGGACCTAAGAGTTATTAAGGTAGCATCTGAGAATATACTCTATATACTGTATATACTGAGTATATACTGTATATTATTAAAGATTTAATCTTCAACTTGATTCAGTCTGGGACTGGTTAAAAACCCAACAGTTACTATTACTACTACTACTACTGTTGTTGTTATCATCATCATCACTATACCACTAAATGGTACAGGGTTTCCTGCCTGAGTAGGGGGTTGGACTAGATGACCTCCTTCCAGTTTTTTTTTTTTCTTCTTCTTCTTCTTCTTCTTCTTCTTCTTCTTCTTCTTCTTCTTCTTCTTCTTCTTCTTCTTCTTCTTCTTCTTCTTCTTCTTCTTCTTCTTCTTCTTCTTCTTCTTTTCTTCTTCTTCTTCTTCTTCTTCTTCTTCTTCCTCTTCTTCTTATCATCATCATCATCATCATCATCATCATCATTATTATTATTATTATTATTATTATTATTATTATTATTATTATTTTACCATCCTCATCCTCATCCTCACACTCTATAATTGGTTTACTCTCCTTTTAACATTACCCATACATTTGACTGAGAGCTTAGGTGCACCTGGCAGATATTCTGACAAAAACCAGGAAGGATTTCCTTTAAAAAAAAAAAAAAAGTAACTCTTACCGCTAAATTGGGATTAATCCTCCCTCCAACTGGTTTCAAGTCCTACGAGTGAGAAATGAGCATTTACAGGCAATTAGGTTTCCAAACCAGCAGGAAAAATTTGTCTCTAGGGCTCGGAGCCCAGACAGGTTCTACAGCTGCCCAGATGTGTTTCTTATTTTGGAAAGAAAACCAAAACGATAACACAACAAGACAGGAATCAGACTTTCCCTTCAGCGCAACGGCTACGAGATCTCCACGGTGAATATTGCACAGCTCCCGTCCTACGAAGAACTACAGAGCCGCCCGTGGGCACCGTTGAAATTGGTCCATGGGATGGTTCCCTCCGCAGGATGAAAAAATCCTCCAGTTCTACTTTCCTACGGGAAGTTAATTGATTGTCCCCATGACAAGCCTTTCAGATGAGAAATGGCCACAAAGAGCATCATTTTAGCCCTGGACCACAAATTAATGAGTCAGAAAGGAAACAAAGCAGTCTTTCCTCTCTCCCATCCCTAAATTTAATGTGGAGAAAAGCAAAGTTTTACACCCAGGCAGGAAAAAAGCAAAGGTACAAGTACAGACTGGGCCAGACCTGGCTTAAAAACAGTAACTGTGAGAGGGACCTTGGAGTCTTAGTGGAGGATCACACAAGCCAGCCGTGTGCAGCAGCAACCCCAAAAGCTAATGCAATCCTGGGTTGTATAAACAGAGGCATAGAATCAAAATCAGGTGAAGTCTTAGTACCGCTTTAGAAAGCCTTGGTAAGGCCACCCCCTGGAATCCTGCATCCAGTTTTGGTCACCCCATTACAAAAAAGATGTTGGGACTTTGGGGAAAAAGTGCAGAGAAGAGCAACTAAGATGATTAAAGGCCTGGAGAGTAAAACCTGTGAAGAATGATTGCAGGATTTGGGTAGGGGCAATCTAGAGGAAAGAAGGACCAGGGGTGACATGACAGCAGTGTTCCAGTATTTGAGGGGCTGCCACAAAGAAGAAGGGGGTCAAATTATTTTCCAAAGCACCTGAACGCAGGAGAAGAAACAACGGATGGAAACTAATCAAGGAGAGAAGCAACCTGGAACTAAGGAGAAACTTCCTGACAGTGAGGACAATCAACCAGTGGAACAGCTTTGCCACCAATAATTGTGGGTGCTCCATCACTGGAGGCTTTTAAGAAGAGGCTGGACATCCACTTGTCTGAAATGGCATAGGGTCTCCTGCTTGAGCAGGGGGTTGGACTAGATGACCTCCAAGGTCCCTTCCAGCTCTATTCTGATTGACTGGTTTTGCTTTACCCAGCTTCTTTCCTTTGACTTTGGCCAAAGGTACAGCTAGGATGGGAGCTTGAGACTAGAACTTCATCTTCAAACAAATGGCTTCTCTGGATTTGGAAGAAAGTCTTCTCTCTTTGGGAATGACTCCCCACTCCAAGATCTCTTCCGGCTCTATTCTGATTGATTGAAATATAGACTGTCAATTTTAATAGAGAGAAGGAGGAGAGTGTGCAATTTCTAAATCTCCTTTCCTTAGCCTGAGAAGATCAAGAGGGAACCAGGTTTGTACCACATAACTGTAGCCCATCACCATGATTTTTAATCAGAAAGGAAAATATTTGTAACTCCGGGTTGAAATGAGGGATCCTTGGTGTTCTCTGAGCTTGGTTGTTTTCTTGCAGATGTGCCCTGATGACGTTACCTGGTTTGGAAATGAAACGTCTGCCAAAAAAAACCCCAAGCAAGCTTAAAGAGCACCCTTTCAGTGTTCATCATAGCAAATGGAAGAGGCCAGAATCTAGGATCTAGGGTCTTAAATCACTCTCATGACACCCCTTCATGGATATTTACAGGAGGATTTTATTTATGCCTTTTATTTGTTTATTTCTTATACACTCTAGGGTTGACGGGAGGAACGATATCTGCATCTGGGAAACAAAAAAGCAGAGTGGAGAAACGTCAAAGATGGAGAACAGGAGGATAAGGTCAAAATGTTCACCAAGAGCCCGGAGGAGGAAGAGGAGATAGATAAAGATGAAGGAGATGGAGAAGGAAAAGGAGGAGGAGGAGATAGATAAGGAGAAGGGAGGAGGAGATGAAGCAGATGGAGATGGAGAAGGAAGAGAAGGAGAAAGTGGAGGAGGAGGAGGAGATAAATAAGGATGAAGGAGATGGAGAAGGAGAAGGAGGATATAGATGAGATGAAGAAGGTGGAAGAGGAGATAGATAAGGATGAAGAAAATGGAGGAAATGGAGAAGGAGGAGACAGATAAGGATGAAGGAGATGGAGGAGGAGGAGACAGATGAAAAGGGAGGAGATGGAGAAGGAGAAGGAAGAGGAGGAGGAGATTGATAAGGATGAAGGAGATGGAGAAGGAGAAGATAGATAAAGAGAAGGGAGGAGAACGAAAAGGAGACAAAAAAGATGGAGATGGAGGAGGAGGAAGAGGAGAAATATCTTCCACCTTCGTAGCTTCAAGTGTCTCATTTGGAATGTAACTCGAGCTTGAAGCTGAAAGAATAAAGCGTCTTTAACATCCAGCATGGCCATGGGTTTCCTTTGGTGGTCTTCAGCTACACGATGCTACCCCGTTTTCCAGGGCGCCCCTCAGTTCTTCCCCAGTCTGGGTTTCAGCCAGAGGTCTCTTCTCCAGCTCGGATGCTTCTTTGGAACTCCAGGGAGGAGGGCTGGAGACGGGAGAGTCCCCGTCAGCAACGCTGTCCGGTTCTCCAGGGCTTCCACCTTGTTCGCCTGTCGGACCTTCTCTTCCTCCGTCCTCCAGTTCCAAAGTGGACGACCGATCTTCGGTCCGCTTGGCGTGGTCATCCTCAAGGCCGCCGGGGTCCCCTTCTTCTGACAGACCCTGGGACGACGACGAACGGAAACTCTTGGCTTGAGGGCCGCTCTTGAGGTTTCCGCGCGAGTCCTCTGCAGGGAGAGCGGCTTCTTCCGGAAGAGTCCGTTCCGTTTTAGCAGGACACGTGATTGGCGGCTGCCTTGTTTGATCTTCCACACGGGAGAAAAACGGGAATGGACAGTGAGCAGGAACAAAAGATATTAGAACAAGTAATTTTCACAGGCAGAATTTAAACCGGGGGCGTCCAACTTCGGCGACCTTAAAACCTGTGGACTTCAGCTCCCGGGATCCCCCATGCTGGCTGGAGGATTCTGGGAGTTGTAGTCCACAGGTCTTGAAATTGCCACGGTTGGGGACCCCTGATTTACACCACTACTTTGGGGGGGGGGGGAAGGACCTTTTGACAAGGCCCAGTTCTAATTCTTATCCTTTTAGCTGTTTGAAAGAAACAAAAAGATTCCTCTCCCCACACACAGTAAAAAAATAAAAGTTCTGGCTCTCGTTTGTCACCCCAGAACAGTAGAGACGGTCCTCATTTAGTCACCCTAACTGGAACCGGCCACTTGGTCGTTAAGTGAAGTGGTTGCTAAGTGGAACTGCAACTTGGGCTTATTATCAACTTACCACAGCTTTCCTTTGCTTCGCAGGCCTGCCAAGTGGGCCATAAATGCAAGTGGTGCTTCTGAAGTGATTTTTTTTTCATCCCCATCCTAACTGGAAACGGACCCTAAATGAGGACCACCGGTATGCAAGGCCACCTATGAATTTTCGAGTCTCTCTCTCTAAAGAAATCTGAGCGTTTTTGTTCCTCGCGGTCTATTGACCGAGATGTAACCGTTTTCCCCTCCGTCCTTTTTCAAGAACTGATTTTTATATTTCCTTTCCTGGCTTGATTGTAATGGAAAACTGTAGCTTAATCAACCAGAGCAATATTGCATGCGAGGAGGAGGAGGAGAAGGGAGCAAAAGGAGGAGGAGGGAGGAGGAGGAAAAAGAGATGGAGGAGGAAGAGGAGGAGGGAGGGAAAGGAGGAAAAGGAAGAGGAAGGGAGGGGAAGGAGGAAGAGAAAGAGGAAGGAGAGGAGAAAGAGGAAGGGAAGGAGAAGGAGGGGAGGGAAGGGAGGAGGAGAAAGAAGGGGAGGAGTAAGAGGAGCAGGGGAGGGAGGGAGAGGAGGAGAAGGAGGGGGAGAGAAGGAAGGAAGAGGGGGAAAGGAGGAGGAGGAAGAGGTGGAAAAAGAAGAGGAAGGGAGGGGAAGGAGGAAGAGGAAGAGGAGGAAGAGGGGAAGGACGAGGGGAGGGAGGAGGAGGGGAGGAGGAAGAGGAGCAGGGAAGGAAGAAGGAAAGGAGGAAGATGAGAAGGAGGGGGAGGGAATGGAGGAAGAGGAAGAGGGGGAAAGGAGGGGGAGAAAGAGGAAGAGGAGGAAGAGGGGAAGGAGAAGGAGGAGGGGGAGGGAAGGGAGGAGGAAGAGGAGCAGGGGAGGAAGAAGGAAAGGAGGAAGATGAGAAGGAGGGGAGGGAATGGAGGAAGAGGAAGAGGGGGAAAGGAGCAGGAGAAAGAGGAGGGGGGAAGAGGAAGGAGGAGGAAAACTTAGCAAGTTTGTATTTCGAGACTAAGAAATCGTCCATTTCTTGGAATAACCTCATTCGGTCTCTCTCTCTCAGCCCAAAGCCGCAAATCCCAAGCGGAATCTCCGCATCCATTTTCAACTCTCCTTGGGCTCAATCTGCACCTTCAGGACAGGGGGGGGGGGAGGAAGCACTTCCTTGAAATGTTCCTGGCACCTGATTGGCATGGAGAACGAGGCCCTACATTATTTTCCCAGCCTTGTTTGAGCCCAGCTAGGCCATAAGGAGACCTACGAGGCCGTCATGATTCCTGGATCGTCAAACACCGAAGGGAGAAAAAAAAACACACCCCACATTATTTAAGCAATAAAGAAGTGGGGGTTAAGCTAAAATCGAGCCGAGCCGATTGGGAGGCAATTCTTAGGAGAGAGTTTTCTGAAACCCACTTACTACGGGTCTGGGAGCAGCTCCGGGATCTGAACTCTCCAGAGTATTAATTAGTGTGACTGTTTTTAACCGCGGCGCTTAGAACGTGGAAGGGTTTGTGACAAGAGAAGAAACAGGCGGGGGGAAATAGGGAAGTAATGGGGGAACTCACGAAGTCTGCGGCTACTTCCTGCTAATTGCTCCGCAGAATATTTAAAATGTTCACCCGAGACGGGGAATACGGGTAGTCCTCGGCTTATGGCCGCAACGGAGCCCCAAATTTCTCCTTAAGCCACTTTCGCCCCATTTTACGCCCTTTCTCGACCCGGTTGCGAAGTGGATCACTGAACTTGTCCTCGGTTGTTCAGCGATTCCGGCTTCCCCCACTGACTTTCTTTGTCAGAAGGTCGCGAAAGGGGATCCCGTGATCCTAGGGGGATCACGGCAGCCACTGTCATAAACACGAGTCAGTTGCCAAGCCGGTTTTGCATTTTGATCGCGTGACCGTGGAGCTGCCGTCTAATTTCCGGAGGGATGACATTCCCAAGAGAGGGAGCCACCACGGAGAAGGCCCTGCTTCTGGGTTCCCGCCAGATGGACCTCCTTAGGGGATGGGACACTCAACGTTCCTCGCCTCCCCGCTCCGGTGGGTCGGGCGGATGTGACCGGCGAGAAACGGCCCCTCAGATAAGCCCGGCCCCAAGACGACATCCTTGGAGCTTTTCCTAAATTTGGAATTACCCATTATTAGGACCCCAGTTGCTTACCTTCTAAATTCTGTGGGGGCTTCTCGACCAATGTTAGCAACGGCGAACGTGACCTCTGGATAGCGGGAAGAGCCGGTTCGCTAAATGTAATCGTATCCTTGCCACCTGTAATCATAAGGACATGAACATGTACATTTCTCTTATCCTGTCCGAAACCAAAAGAGATTAAAAAACAAAACAAGAAAATCAAATTTAAGCATTTAAAACCAAGACATCCTGTTTAATAGCAGCCTGGTCTTTCTCGCTTCCTGTGTTCCTCCCTCTTTATTTAATTGTTTAGAGCTTAATCGACCCTTAGGCCACCTCCAATAATCCCAGTAACTTCGGATTAAAACTGGAATTTCAGGCTCAAAAAAATGCTACATTAGAAATCTCAGCCTCGTGAAACAAGGAGAGTCTGTTTGATTCCAGGAAATTGCTCTTTTCTTTTTTCTTTTCTTTTCTTTTCTCCCTTCTCCCTTCTCCTGTTCCTCTCTCGCGCTCAAGAATCCGAGCAGGCCCTTGATCAAAACCCAGGTTGGCACTTTCCCCTCCGAGAATCAACTCTTCCTCTCTTTCCGGTGGCGCAAATAAACACATAAATAGCATGAATCACTTTGGTAAAAAAAAACCTAGCTTTGAGCTTTCCGGTGGAGAAATAATGATACGTTCACGGAGCGCTTATCAAAACGGGCCTGGAGGAACCAAGTCGGCCGTCGGAGAGACGGCTGACGCTCTTGAATTTTCGGCACAGTCAATACAGAAAGGCGACCCTTTGACTAACGGCTCCGTTTAGTAGACCCCCGTCTTGCTGCAGCTGTCATGTCAGAAGGATTGTTGAAGACCCAGAAATTAGAGCCTTGCCTCAAATGGCATCCATTAACTCCCCCCCTCCCTGTCTTCCTTTCTTCCTTCCCTCCCTCCTTCTTCCTCTCTCCCTTCCTGTCCTTCCTACCTACCTCTCTCCCTCCCTGTCTTCCTTCCTTCCTTCCCTCCTTCTTCCTCTCCCTTCTCCCTTCCTCCTTTTCTGTCCTTCCTTCCTACCTCTCTCCTTCCCTGCCTTCCTTCCCTCCCTCTTTCCTCTCCCTTCCTTCCTCTTTTTCTGTCCTTCCTTCCTTCCTACCTTTCTCCTTCCGTCTTCCTTCCTTCCTTCCCTCCCTCCTTCTTCCTCCCTTCCTGTCCTTCCTTCCTTCCTTTTGTCCTTCCCTCCTTTCTACCTCTCCCTCCGTCTTCCTTCCTTCCCTCCCTCCTTCTTCCTCTTCCTTCCTGTCCTTCCTTCCTTTTCTGTCCTTCCCTCCTTCCTCCCTTCTTCCCTGTCCTCCCTCCCTCCCTCCCTCCCTCCCTGTTCTTCCTTCCTCTTTCTTCTTCCTTCCTTCCTTCCTCCCTCCCTTTCCTCCTTCCTCCCTTCTTCCCCATCCTCCCTCCCTCCCTCCGTGTCCTCCCTCCCGCCCCAACTATTATGCACAACCTGCAACTCCTCCGTTCAGAAGCCCTTCTTCCCTTATTGCCCTCCCTTCCAATTAGAAGCAATTGTGCAAGTAGCCTCTATTCCTCTTGCGACTGTCTCAAGTTGAATATCTTAATCGGGGTGGGTGGGGGGGGGAGACAGACTTTAAAAACATTCAGATGACATTTCTATTTGTTATACGCGGCAGCGACAGCACTTTGTGCACATTGAAGGTTTGTTACTCAAAACGTAACAAAGGAGCACCTACTCCCGAATCCCACCGAGACATCGTAGCTGAGGCCTTCGGGCAGCAAGGGAAAAAAAGAAAGGAGAGAAAACCGTTATTATATCCATGTTAGCTTGTCGTCTGAACAAGAACAGAGCGAGGCGTTTAGAGAGACCGCGGCATGCCAGACATCCCTTCAGCGGATTTACGAATCCCTTAATTCGAAAACATTCGAATTCAGAGCGTCTCCGGTTCAGTGTGACGCAAACGAAGAGGCCAACCCCAGATTCTGTCAGGGATGGCAAATCCTCCTTGACGCTCACCACAAATGAGCAGAGGTAGTCCTCAACGTACGACCGCAAACTTATGTCCTTAAGTGAGAAATTCCTTAATTCGCCCCGCGTTAACGATTTTCCTCGCCACGCTCGTCAAGCGAGCCGCTTCAGGTGTTAAATCAGCCATGCGGTTGTGAAGGGAGCCTGGTTCCCCCCCCATTGACTTGGCGTGTCGGAAGGCCGCCAAAGGGGATCACGTGACCCCGGGACCGTCGTAAATGCGAGTCAGTTGCCAAGCATCCGAATGTCAATCACGTGGACACAGGGGACTCTGCAAGGGTCGTCAGCATGAAAAACGGTCCTAGGTGAACTGTTTTTCAGTGCCGTTGTGACTTTGAACAGTCACTGTTGAGGGCTACCTCTATCAGTATAACATGTATGTGGATCAGGCTACCACAACTGTTGAGGGCTACCTCTATCAGTATAACATGTATGTGGGTCCAAGCAGGACGGTCTTTTGCAATTAAGAAGAGATTTTGCTAAATGCTACTAACCTGGGAGGCTCCATAGCCCAGAAATTTCTAAAGTTCTTAGTTTTTTCTCCAACTCCGCCACCCGGTTGCCTAAGATTCTGAAACAAGGATTGAATACTTTATATAAAAGGGAGAAAAAAAATGAGATTTACATGGAGATTTACAGATTCTATCTGCACGTCTCTCTCTCTCTCTCTTGCGGACACACAGATGCATGCAAACACGAAGATGTAATTATAACTTTTTGCTATAATTTAAAATGGACCGCCCACAATTCTCACATTAATATATATATATAGCTCAAAACTGATTTTCCAAGAAGATTCCTCTTAAAGTAGCGAAATGGGGGAGGTAAGAACTACAGGAAGTCCTTGACTTACAGCAGTTCGCTCAGTGACCATGTTGGCTGTGGAGTGTTGGCCGCAAGTGGGCCATGATGTGTCATCCCCTTCTGTCTTATAACTCACAGCCACAACTGATTCCAAAACTTCTATTCTATTCTATTCTATTCTATTCTATTCTATTCTATTCTATTCTATTCTATTCTATTCTTCATTATTCTATTCAATTCGATTTGATTTGATTCTTCATTATTCTATTCTATTCTATTCTATTCTATTCTTTATTCTTCTCTTCATTATTCTGTTCTATTCTTTCTATTCTATTTTATTCTATTCTATTCCATTCTTCATTATTCTATTCTATTCTTCATTATTCTGTTCTATTCTATTCTTTCTTCTATTCTATTCTATTCTATTCTATTCTATTCTATTCTATTCTTCATTATTCTATTCTATTCTATTCTTCATTATTCTATTCTATTCTATTCTATTCTATTCTATTCTATTCTATTCTATTCTATTCTATTCTATTCTATTCTATTAACACATGCCAGTTACCAAGTGCCCAAATTTTGATCATGTGACCACAGGGATGCTGCAATAGTGATACACGTACACACATATATATGAAAACTGATCATAAGTCACTTCTTTCACTACTTTTGTAACTCTGAATGGTCACTAAACGAATGCTTCTAAGTAGAGGACTGCCTGTTTATCACCTCCACCTTCCCCCCCCCCAATGTTTTCCCCTGTGCTAAGCCTAGACAGTTCCACAAAGCACTACACACCTCAGTGAATGCAAGCGGATCAGCATGACTTGTATAGAAGTCCCACACCAGTCTATTGTAGAAAAATCACTTACTTGTTGGTTTGCCTTTGGTGCTGAATGACCATGTTCTTCTCATGGATGGTCTCCAATAAAGCAGTAGCCAAGGATTTGAGATCAGAAATGGACTGAGGCGTTGCTGGTAAACTGCAGCCGTGATCTTCAGATAACAGTTCTTGCACTAGAAACAGTTGAAGGAAGTCAAAACAAATTTAGGAATCTTTTTAGGGTGTTCAGCTCTCAAAGAATTGGGGATCTGTCCAGAGTAGCATTTCTCAACCATGGTAACTTCCGGATGTGCAGGTTTAACCAACATGGTGAGTGGAGTGGAGTGGAGTGCAACATGGTGAGTGGAGTGGAGTGGAGTGGAGTGGAGTGGAGTGGAGTGGAGTGGAGTGGAGTAGAGTAGAGTAGAGTAGAGTAGAGTAGAGTAGAGTAGAGTAGAGTAGAGTAGAGTAAGCAGAGCAGAACAGAATAGAACACAGAATGGGAATGGAATGGGATAGGATAGGATAGGATTGGAATGGAATAGAATAGAATAAATGTAAATAGAATAAATGTAGAATAGAATAAATGTAGAATAAAATAGGATAGAATGGGATAGAATAGGATAGAATGGGATAGGATAGGATAGGATAGAATGGGGAATGGAATAGAATAGAGTAGAATAGGTTTAATAAACAATAACCCTTGCTCTTCCTCCCTTCCCATTCTGTAAGAAAGAAATACTAATAACATAAATTACTAATGCCCTAGTCTATAGTTTTGATCACATATTGTGTACAGTTATGTCGGTTCCTAAAAAAAAAATAAAAATGTGAGGGATTGTTTTGAGGGGAAGCTTCCTGGCTGCCCAGCCCTCATTCCCCTGTTCCTTTAAAAGACCCTGTGAGATCTGTGAAGATGCAGATCCCTGTGAATTCCAAGGAAAATGCCAACTATGCTGCTGTTTCAAAACAAAACCCACCAGAACCAGAAATAAACCAACCTTGCTCCCCCAATACAGAGACGAACACAAAGTGATACAAGATCCTGGTGTGCAAATGTCCTATTAGGACCACCACTTTCAATTTTAGAAGAAAGACAAAACTCTGAGACTTCCGGTGGCAGGCGACCTCGTTGGAAGCAGCTGTTTGCTGCCTCCCGCCTGTTTCAGCGTAAAAGCCGTTTTGACAGCTAGCATCAGCTGTAAAACGGCTTGATACCTTTTCCCTGGGCATAAGGGGATAGGTGAGCTGCCCGGGGTAGGAGTTGAGTTCCCGAGTCGTCCCATGTGGACGATGTAGGTGAGAACTCCTCCGGAGCCCCGAGGCTTCTCCGCGATCCAGGACGCCTTCGCTTCGGCGAAGCTAGAAGCCGCTGCCACTGCTGCAACTTAAATTGAACTGTGAGTTTTTTTTGTAAGCAGA